CAGGGGCAAGCGGGTTAGGAGGGGAGGGGGGGGGACGAGACATGGGGCAAGCGAGGTGGCCAGTTGGTCTTCAGAGGACCAGGGTATAGAAGAGTACGCCATGCTTATGCACCAAGAACGAACATCTCAAAGAATGCTGGGAAATTTCCCAGGATGCTGAATGGTAGAGTCTGTATAAGCTGACCATGTTTTGCTTCCATGTCTACCACAGGCGAATATCCAGAGGATTACATGTACACCGCCACAGGTCTGTTCGTGCTCATTGACATGGAGCATTTGAGGTGGTGGGGGGCCCTTAACACTAGAGCCACTGGCGTTTTTTCCACCTCCTTTACCGCAAGCAGCACGTACTTCTGTGTATCGCGCCTATGGTTTGTTAGTGGGCCGCGGCATTAGCATACTGCTCACTCATCAAGAAAGCAATGCGACAGTCAATCCTCACAGCAGGGGGCTGTTACCCCCAAAAAAGCCTATAATGCAGCATGTTTGTCATGTTTTTGTGCTCATTGATGTAAGTATTGTTCTTGATAGATTAAATTTGTGAAATTAATCTTAATCCCACTGTTTTATATTTCATTTTACATTTGTAAGAACAACAATGCAAACTTCAATGATCATGAAATCCCCAAAAAACTACATCTGTTTATCCAATATATAAAATAGTCTGTTTGAAAACTCTTAATTTTTACAATTTCTCGACCAAGCCGCCACTGTATTAGGAACATTACAGGTTTTTGGTTGGGGGTGTTAGATTCACTGCTGTAATTACCACAAATAGCACATTCATGCAAACAAGGGCTGCATGCGTCATCTTATATCTTGCTCTGTGGTTAAAGGAGTTTGACATTCATTGGCTAGGAAATGGCAGCTCTAGTGTTAAATATCTTCTAGAATGCTGAGGTTCTGGAGCTGTGCTCTTTAAAACTGTATCACCTGCTCCTCCACAGACCCTGGTTACCAGAATCCCTCCGTGTTCGCTGCCGCCGAGTCGACCGCCAACCTGGTACGCCCTCAACGCTCTGCGAACCCGCAGTCTGTCCTTCCCTTGAAACACTCCCATTTAATGATGCACCATATGGATATAAGTATTGGGACACCTGGCCATTACACCTACCGGAGCTTTTATGACGTCCCATTTCAAATCCATAGGCATCAATACGGAGTTGGTCCCCCCCTTTGCAGCTATAACAGCTGCCACTCTTTTGAGAAGGCTTTACATAAGATTTTGGAGTGACTGGCACTATGCAGTCAGGCAGGTAACGTTCTGGCAAACACCAAACCCAGACTCGCCCATCAGACTGCCAGTCAGAGAAGCGTGATTCATCACTACACAGAACATGTTTCCATATTTCCACTCTGCGACGCCCCTCTGTTAGTTTACATGGTCTGTCACTTCGTGGCTGAGTTTCTGTTGTTCCTGAACACTTCCACTTTGCAATAATACCACCTACAGTTAACCGTGGAATATCTAGCAGGGAAGAAATTTCACGAACTGACCTGTTGCAAAGGTGGCATCCTTTGACAGTACCTACTTTGAATTCACTGAACTTATCAGAATGACTCATTCTTTCGCAGATGTTTGTAAACCTGACTGCATGGCTTGATGCTTGATTTTATACACGTGTGGCAATGGGTCTTCAATGATTAAGAGGCGTGTCCCAATACTTTTGCCCGTGTAGTGTATCTGCTAGATTTAAGCTCTCCATGTTATAACAGCAAAGTTTTTTTTATTACTATTTAAAATCCACCTTAATTCTGCAGACTATTCAGGAAGGAGGATCTCGTGCTGGATCTCCACAAGAGGGCGTCGCCACCTACAGTTACTCCCAACAGGTATTGCTGCCCTCATTCTGGGATTGTGCGACATCTCGGTGGGGTCTGTACGCCCTTAATGTTGCCTCGTTGGTCTGTACGCCCTTAATGTTGCCTCGTTGGTCTGTACGCCCTTAATGCTGCCTCGTTGGTCTGTACGCCCTTAATGCTGCCTCGTTGGTCTGTACGCCCTTAATGCTGCCTCGTTGGTCTGTACGCCCTTAATGTCGCCTCTTCTCTAGGTGGTTGTGAAGTCGGCTGTCATCTCCTCCTCCCCCACAGCCAACACTGCCCCCGCAGCCATCTTCACCTCCAACTCCTCCTCATCCTTGGGCAGCTCTCAGACCCCACCGGGCTCACTGCCGCCCTCTTCGGGTCTAACCCAGACCACCATGCTGCCACCTCAGTCCATGGGCAGGCCAGGTAATCCCACATACACCCTAACACGCTTTACTGAACACTGCCCCTCATTACAGCTTGTTTGTTCTCTCTGCCGTTTGGTAGTCTTCTCTGTGCCATATCCCCCCACGCCACCGTGGTTTGTGAATGAGATGGGGGAAGCCGTCGGCGTTCCCCCCCCGCCACCGTATTCCTGCGACCCCAGTGGCAGTGACCTACCCCAAGGTCAGGGTGCCACACTGCCGCTTCATCTCAGGCTTCCATGAGACACCCGCAATTTGCCTTTTCACTCAAGGATGTAATGATGTTTACATAAGAACATAAGAAATTTACAAACGAGAGGAGGCCATTCGGCCCATCAAGCTCGTTTGGGGAGAACTTAGCTAATAGCTCAGAGTTGTTAAAATCTTATCTAGCTCTGATTTAAAGGAACCCAGGGTTTTAGCTTACGCTACACTAGCAGGAAGACTATTCCATACTCTGACTACACGCTGTGTAAAGAAGTGCTTCCTCAAATTTGTTTTAAAATGTTCTCCCGCTGATTTCCACTTATGGCCACGAGTTCTAGGTAACCTAATTCTGTCTCTCCCTCCCCCAGACTGCAAGGTCCTCCAGTATTACTTTAACTTGGGAGTTCAAGTAAGTGACTCGGCCGTGGGATTACAGCTGGTAATGGTACAGAATGGGGCCTCGAGCCACACGGAATGTCTGACAGCTTTCAAAGGGCTTGATGCACAATTTATGGTTTTGTTCCCTGTAGCAATTACATCAGAGACCAGAAACTAATGGCCATATTTTTAGGGCACAAACACAGTACATCATGGTTATGGAGCATCACAGCACCTTGTACGTCCTGGTCTCGTTCAGTAATCATTTTGTGAAGCGTTTGCTAGCCGCATACCGGGCAAAGTGGTGTGCTCTGCAGATGGCCTGTACTGCGTCCCGCGTCATCGGACAAACTGTCGCTGATGCCTCATGGCTGTTAGATCGCCAGGAAGCAAATGTCCTCCATCTGTGAAGGATTCTCTGCGGCAGGACCTGGGAGAGACGGCCTCGGTCGTCCTGGGGGGTGGGGGGGGCAATTCCATAAAAACAGCGTGGGCCTGAGGGTGTTTGAAGCTTAACCCAAAGTGGTGCTTTGGGGAGGGGCCCGATTGAAGGCCAAGGTGGTGCTTCGGGGAGGGGCCCGATTGAAGGCCAAAGTGGTGCTTCGGGGATGGGCCTGATTTGAATGCCAAAGTGGTGCTTCGGGGAGGGGCCCGATTGAAGGCCAAGGTGGTGCTTCGGGGAGGGGCCCGAATGAAATGACAGAACTTAATGCTGACTTTCAAATTCCAAATGTTGTGAGCGCAGAGGTCACATTTAATCAGTGTGCTTTCAAAAAGCAGGTCATCTGAAAACAGCGGCCGTTAAAACTGCAGTAAGTAGAGGATGGCGGCAGCTGTGGATGTTGGGCAGCAAGATAAGATTCTGCCTGTTGGTAGCTCCCCTCCATATCTGAGGGTCCCTGAAAGATAAAAGTGCTGGAACCTGGGTCTGATGCATGATGGAAATGCAGGTGGTCGCACTGCATTCTGGTTGTATTATCTCCCCTCTCTCTAAGGGGCAGAGCAGTGGCTCCGGAGGTAGGGATCTGTGCCGGTGATCAAAAGGTTGCTGGTTCATCCCGTGAATGCACAGCGTGGTACCACTCTGTTGGGCCCTTGAGCAAGGCCCTTAACCTGCAATTGCTTCATCCTGTGTATGGTGTTAATCTATATCCAGTCCTGCAAGCAAATTTGGGACTTGGTGGCAGGGAATTGGTGGGAAATTTGGGGGGTTGGTGGCAGGATTGGCACTCCAGCCACCGGAAAAAACTTCACACAGATCCGCTCCAGCTAAGGGCTGCACTCAGGTTCTCACTCCTGAGGTGCTTTGTGGTGTGGATGCTCCTTACCTCTCAGTCTAAGGCTAGAGGTGTCTACTCCAAGGTCTCTAAGCAGCCTGAACTCAGAGAGACCCTAATGTGTGCCCCCCCTCCCCCCCCAGTGGTACCAGCAGAGTTACTGGCACTCTATGGTGCAGATGCAGCAGGTGTACCAGCCACCCGGCGCTGACCCACCAACCTTCCAGCCCTACAGCAGCGTGCCTCAGGCGTACCCCGAAGCGGGCCATGCAGCACCCGATCCCCAGGGGGAGCTCTCCGCCTATGGTCAGAATGGCTGCTTTTGCTGGGGTGGGTGGATCTTCTGGTTATCCTTGATGTCCCTGGATGTGACCTGTGTGGCTTGTTTTTGTTTTTCCTGCCACCCCCAGGTGCCCCCTTGCCCCTGGACCCTCCCCCGGCCGCCCCAGGCACTGTGTTCTACCCTCTAGTACAGGAGCACTGCGGCCAGCCCTCCCCGCATTCCTACGAGTCCTACGTTCCTGTCCTCCCCACCAGCTTCCACTATCTCACGCCCTGGACCCCTGGCCCCGCCCAGCCCCCCCTGCACGCCTCCTTTTGCACCTCCCCCTCCCATCCCATCAGCTACATCGCCACACCTGCCCACCCGGGCCCCTTCATCCCACCCAGCATGTGACGGCTTGCCTGTTAGAGTACAGCACACCCCTCACAACATCAGTGACAGGCTGCCTGGTTGCTGCCCCACGTGGTTAAACTTCACTTTTGTTTCTGGGTCTGTCTGTAATCCCACGTTTGGCTGTTCACGCCCCGTTTCCTGCACACCTTTCAGGGGAGATATTTATGTTCCTGAGTGTTTTTGTACGTTATTTTTAGGTTTGCATTAATAAACTTGTTTTCCCAAGCACGTGGCCCCGGTGCCTCATTGGAAGTGCCTCTACATGTCACTCGACCTCGCTGTTTAGCTGGAGAGAGCCTCCTTCACAGAGGTTGTTCAGCTATTTAGATGTTCCGCTTACCTTTTTTTTAATAATGACTTTCCCCTCCTGTGGTGATTCTACAGGTCTCTCAGAGCAAAGGCTGAAGTGACTTTCTGCACTTTCACCGTTAGCGGCTGGGCGTCAGCGTGATGGAAATGCTCCTTCGGCTAAACGCTCAGGGTTTAGTACTTTCAGTTTTTCCCCATTTTGCCAAATTGGATATTTTTTTTTGGGTCTCCCTAAGGGAACTAGGGTTTTATCTGTTTTTTCAGGGTGGGGGGCTGGGGTCCTTGCAGCTGGAGAAGTGAGGGAGTACTGTGTTTGGTGTGAGGAAGCGGGGCTGTTCAAGGGGGTGCCAATGAAGTGGAAAAGGGGGATTTAGAACAGAAGTGGAGGTGTTTGTGGAGATATTCAGAAGCGAACCGGCGAATGGGGTTGAGGTGAGGTGCTGAACGCCTGCAATTCACAGTGGGTTTAGTGGTGGCCATACAGCTCGGTCATGCAGTCTGCTGGTCCCCCACGCCACCAAACCAGCTCTGCGTGCGGTTTCAGATGCACAGAAAGGATCCCTCTGCATCTCGCATGTATCGACAGGCGCCTTGGGTTCGAGCGGAGCTGTAAACGGGGAGAGAGAGAGAGCTGAACCTTCCTGTGAGGCTGGAAACATGGAGACGCCGGGTAAGGAGCAGGTGGGCGGCCATTCTGGGTCTCATGCTCATTCCTCTGAACCTATTTGTAAAACAACCATTTTATCTTGTTCTGTCTGTACATATGAGGGTAGAGTCTGAGTGGAGGTCTGAGTGGATGGACTGCAAGGAGGGTGGAGAACCGTTGGGGAACACAGCACAATGATCTGGGAATCAGGCCGGGAGCTGTGTAGGACCCCGATAATGGGCTACGTCTGAGCGCTGGGCTCAGCTACGGCTGACATTTTAGTGTCGGTCTTTAGCTACGTACCTTCATGGAAACTCTCAGCGGACGTAGGATGACCACTTCACTAGATGTATTGCAATTAACCAGTTCTGGCTACAATGGAATTTTTTCACACTTTTAAATGAACGTAATCTGTAAATCCTCTTGCGACCATCGCCTTGGGAAGCTCTGTATATCACAAAGGTCTGATCATCATTGTACTTGATCATACAGGAGTGACGGAAAGGGCAGAGAATGTTTGCGTTAATTGAATCGTTAAGCGGAGCAGCTGGAGAAAGGTACCCAGTGGGGCTCTGGGGGGGGTCAGGGAAAAAAACCTGAGCACATGATTATGTCCATATTTTTATTCAATATACTTTTTAGTCAACAGTGCTGTTGAATTATCAAAAGAAAGTTGGCTGGTTTGGTAGACATTTAAGAAATGTTTCTGTGGAAGATTCTGTGGCATCGCAGAAAAACCCTAAAAATAACCACGTCTCACATTCTCCATGGGCAAAACTCAATCTGGCGTGTTTTATTGTACGTGCCTTTAAAAAAAATAATAAATCGTAACAAATCTGCATTTCTGAGATCACACATTAAAAAAATAAGTTTTTCTAAGAGAAACAAAATTCCCTCATAAACCTTGTAAATTCTCTCGTCTGTGAAGTAAATTGAGTATCGATTGAAACCTTCCCTTAGAAGAGTAGCTGAAAACAAAACATAGAAAAATGAGATGGGTATGTAAGAGAATGTGCCGGGAACACCATGCATGTGAAGTCATTCATAAAACCAGTTTGGATTCTATTTCAGACTCATTCATCTGAAGAGGACTGACACAGTGATGAGGCTGAATGGTCAAAATTAATGAGAGGGACACTGACACCCCCCATTCAGGCAGAGGTGTAAACCCCCCCCCCCCCCCCCCCCTCCCTGGCACAGCCGCTGCCTGCTAGCTGCCAGGATCGCCCCTGTGAGATCTCCCAGCATACCATTTCACAGTGGGCTCTACAGCACCCCCTAAAGGTGAAGATGTTTCCCTTTTACTGCAGGATTTCCAACAGGGGGCGCTATTTGACAGTGATGCTTTGGCAAAAGCAGACGGGTTGGTGTTTCTATGCCGCCGTCACAGATGGACGATCCAGGTATAAAAAGCAGCCAGATGGGAAAGGGCGTCTCCTGACTGCTCAGCCCGTCCGCTCACAGTGCCGACTTCCATTCCTCTGGGGCTCCCCCCCCCCCCGCCGGCACCTGTCAGCCCTGGCGGGGGGCAGGGGGTGCATGGCAGCGACACAGGGCCCCCAGGGGTGGCTCCCACGATTCCCGGCTCATCAACAGCTCATCCAGACGCCACGAATACCAGCCCCACCAAGGGAATGAGGTTCGACACCAAGGGTCAATCCTGTCATCCTTCACGTCAACATGAACATCAAGGTAATGCTATTTCTGAGCTAAATTGGTTATTTCTTGATAGAAAAAGGGTATTTTCAGGTTACAGAAAATTCCGCAGGTGGAGGATGAAAGCCTTTGACGTGGGTGTCAGCTATGTTAATATGTACTACTATTGCAATAAACTAAGCTCTTCATTTGTTTTTTTTTGTCATTTTTCCATTTTCCCTCTAAGCTAATAATAGTGTGTAATAAAGGAGCCCTGGGTATCACGTGGTAAGCGTTCCCGGTCCTGCCTGCCCTGCTGGCTTGGCCGCAGACGCGGTCCATCACAAGCTTGTGTCAGGCGTGCAGACCGGCATGCAGACTGGCAAAGCCCCGCCGGTCGCGTCAGTGTCCCTCAGCGCGCCGGCAGCCCTGCTTTATAGCTTTGTTGTCACCGACTCCTCTTGCTCGGCCTCCCAGTGGGAGGAGTCCAGCCCGTCACAGGCCCCTGCCCATCCCTCAAACACGTCCTCACTAGAGTCCAGGAGGCGCGAGCTGGAGGCAGCAAAGCCGGAAGAACAGTGCAGGGAGGATGGGGGGGTGCGGTCGGGTGGGAGCGCTGTTGCCGGGTCCTGCTGCGCCCCCCCAGTGCCAAGGCGGCTCAGGTTCACCTCGCTGCGCGTCACGTGGCGCTCGGGGGCGAAGCTGAGGTCGGGCCAGGTGGCGGGCGGCTGCAGCAGGCCATCGGAGATGCTGTAGGCGGCTTCGCAGTGCGGCTCTGGCACGTGGCCGTTCATGCGGGAGAACAGCAGCCCTATGCGCTTCAGAGAGTCCCTCTTGGTGCCGGCCAGACGCTGGAACCTGCCCCCATTCCGGACAGATGCGGAGGAGGAGGCAGGGTCGGGAGGGGGAGGCGAGGACGAGGAGGACTTCTTCAGCCCATTGCTCTTTGGTTTGTCCTCCGCCGGCACCCCAAAGGCCGACATGGACTTGAAAAGGGCGGATACGCTGAACGCCGCCTCGCGGCTCTTCCTGCCAGACGACGATAGGTTGAAGGTCACGCCCTTCCCCTTGCCACCATCCTGCCCACTGTCTCTGCCCAGGCTCAGTGCTGCCCCAGGGTCTATCCCGTCGTCGCCACTCTCAGCAGCCTCATCCTTGAGGGTGACGTCACTGCTGGAGGAGTAGGTGCGCCGTGGCAGCTTCCTGTTCCCCAGCAGGTCCAGCACCTCATAGCGGAAGCTGGAGATGTCCTGCTTCAGCTCCTGTTGGGTGACCACAACGCTCATGTTAACATCTAGAGACTGAGCCCACACTTGCAAAGTGATTTCCATTTAACAGCCAGCATTTTACAGCTCCAGAAAAGTGGGGGTGTCCACCTTTGGTTGGCTCTCGCTTCTTTTGTTTCTTTACACTGAAATTAAGTTTGACAGGGTGCCATGAGGAAGACCTAAAATTTTAAACAAGCCAACAGCCCTGGTGACATCAACTTTTCAGCCCACAGTGACATCACTCACCAAAAAGTGTCAACAAGGAGACCTGTTGTGTCTAATTTATTATATTTACCATTTACCATATTTGTATTTGTAGCACCACAGGTGAACCCAAGAGAAACTATATCAATGCACTGTGTACTTGTACATGGATGTGTTGACAGGACAGAAAATGAGTCTTGAGTTAGGAAGGTTCAGGAGCATGAGTTGAGGTGTACCTTGAAGTTCTCCTCTGTGAGTCCTTCGTTGGTCTTGGCACTCCGGATCATGGCGGCGACGTACCTCTTGACCAGGTTCCTGATAACCTCCTGAAGGGGAGAGACCACAAGCTGGGTCCTATCCCTCAGAGACCCCCTGAGCACAAGGTGTACCTCTGCTCCTGGAATGGGTTTCTGGATGTTTGTTCCCAAAGATTACAGCAAGGATATTCGGCAGCTGGGGAGGACTATTTGAGCACAGACACATTTGCGTTTTGAGTTCACTGAGGAAAACTATTTCGTTCCGCTCATACTCGAAACGCATGTATAGCCGGAGGTGAAAATGAGGACTGGCATACATCTGCATGAATTTGCATGTTTAAAACGGAAGTAATGTTACTGAGAGTCGGGGGGGGCGGTGGGTGTACGGCAGTGTCATTCAGTGTCAGCTATATCTACATCATAGGTACTTTTCATTTGGAATGATTGATTCAATAACATTTAAAATATGAATTTAAAGAGCTGCAATTTTTTTCTTTTTATGGTTCAAACTTGGACTTTGAAATATGCTGACTTGCTCATCGACTGCTAATTGATTATTGGGATATTTTGGACTTTTGATATTTTTAAGGATAGGCTGTTTTCATTCAAAATCCTAATCTCTGATCCCATTGCACTCACAACGCTGGTCTTCGTCGTGTCTGTAATATTCCTTTAAAATCTGATGATTCACAGTCAGCCTGATTCCCGCCATCCCACGCAGAGTCCCGGGTCACCCCATACCTGATAGTGCTGGTTCTGGATCAGGTTGTCAGCATGGCGCTCCTGTGGTTCAACACAAGAGAGGGACATGCATTAGAGCAGTCTGTGTGTGTGGTTGGCAAGAAACATGCATTAGAGCAGTCTGTGTGTGTGCTTAGCAAGAAACATGCATTAGAGCTGTCTGTGTATGTGGTTAGCAAGAAACATGCATTAGAGCAGTCTGTGTGTGTGGTTGGCAAGAAACATGCATTAGAGCAGTCTGTGTGTGTGGTTGGCAAGAAACATGCATTAGAGCAGTCTGTGTGTGTGGTTGGCAAGAAACATGCATTAGAGCAGTCTGTGTGTGTG